ATAAAAAATCACATTACAATAAAGATATTCATATCAGAATGTTTATTGCAGCCCAGTTCATAATTGTCAGGTCATGGAAGAAGCCCAAGTGCCCATCGACCCATGAATGGATCAATAAATTGTGGTATATGTACACCATGGAATACTATGCAGCCATAAAGAAAGACGGAGACTTTACCTCCTTCATATTTACATGAATGGAACTGGAAAATGTTCTTCTTAGCAAAGTATCACAAGAATGGAAGAAAAAGTATCCAATGTACACAGCCCTATTAGGAAACTAATTTATAGCTCTCAAATGAAAGCTACAACTTAATTCTAGCCTAAGAATATGGGGAGGGGGTGGGAAGGGGAAGGGAGAAGGGCAGCAGGGTGTTGGGAGGGTGACTGGAAAGATCACCTATATTTTTGTCTAACAAGGGCACAAGTGAACTTTTCTAGAACTAGAGTATAAATGTTTTAACACAATGACTGAGTAAATGACATAAAGTCTATATTAACCAGCTTGATGAAAGTATTTAAAATTGTATATGAAAACACTACACTGTACCCCATGTTTGCATTGATGTATACAGCTATCATTGAATGCAAAAAGAAAATATTGTATATTTTATCATCACTTGCACTCTAAAGATGGACAAGTTTTTACAACATAGGAGTGAGCTAAGTTCACTGTTGGTCAAACCCCTGTGACAGGTGCCTGCTGCTGTTTGCCAGGGGCCTGTAGCACTCTTCCCAGAGGTAAGGTGCCACTGTCTAGGTAGACCACTTCTCTTTCAAAGTGAATCAAACTGCATCATCTTTGGGCAGAAGTGTCATGTTGCACCCATCTGGCTTACTCCCTTGAGTACTATCAAAATATTATAAGACAAGTAAATATAAAGGTGTGGGAGGCTTCAAGATGACCCCTCACAGGGCAGCACCCATAGCTCAGTGGGTAGGGAGCCAGCTACATATACTGAGGCTGGCGGGTTAAAACCCTGCCAGGGCCAGCTAAAACAACGACAACTGCAACAACAAAAAAATAGCCAGGTGTTGTGGCAGGTGCCTGTACTCCCAGCTACTCGGGAGGCTGAGGCAAGAGAATTGCTTGGGCCCAGGAGTTTGAGGTTGCTGTGAACTGTGACACCACACAGCACTGTACCAAGGGTGACATAGTGAGACTCTGTCTCAAAAAAAAGATCACCCCTCACATTGTCCTCTAACATCCTCTGACTGTGTGGTGTCATGCTTCTGTGTGTCAGTGACCAGCAGCCATGGTGGACTGTTGCCCAGACCCAAAGCCAGCCCTAGCAACAGAACCAAAGCATAAGGACCTGTGTCTCTGTAGTGTCTTCACACAAACACAGTGGTGGTTTGTGCTGGAGCAGCTGTGTGTGAAGCACAATAAATTTCTAAGGATTATTCATCTGCCTATGAAAAGAATCTGGGAGACTATTTAAACAAATTCTAGACAAGGCAGAAAATGTGGAAGCCATTTGAGAAAGCACCTATCTGTTCCCTTTGAAGCTTGAAGTTTTTTTGTAGGAAAAAATTCACTGTAAGCATAATCAAACAAATACACCTCTGACCCAGAAGTCTCACCTTGGGGTCATGTCCTGTGGAAATAAAAACAGCATACACCTGGACATGAGTACAAAGCGGGATATTGCAATATTGATTCTAGTGGCAAAAAGGAACAGATGTTTAGCTTCACCAATAACAAGGTGAGGACAATAAAGTGATACATTATTCACCCTTCACTTTATCTAAAATAAATACAAGCACAAAGATTTGCTGAGAATACAGTGTGGGGGAAGTGGGACATGCACAGCTGATGGAAATGGAGACTGATGCAACCTTTTGAGAAATAATCCAGCAATACTTCTTCAAATGAAAATAATGCACATACCCTTTTACCCCGTTATTCTTCTTTTGGAAATCTCTTCTACAGGAATAAAAGCAATAGAGTATTGATATATAAAATGATCCCTAGGCAGAGTTGGAGTTTTTGTTGTTTTGTTTCCTTTAACATAATGTATATTTATTTTTAACATTTAAACTATGAATAATTAACTAAAAATGGAAAATTTTATACAAAATACAACTTGATGAAATAACAGCCATATTTCTATGTAATTAAATGCAGATAAGGTAGATTAATGTGTAGCTGCATAAATGCATAAAAAGATAAAAATGCTTTTATAAAAGTGAGACCATATCATAGACACTACTTTTAACATCAGAATTAAATTTTAGTTTAGTTTAACAAATATAAAGCCAAAGTGAAAATGAAATAAATGATTTGAGTTAACAATGTTTTTTTTTCTAAAAGATTCCTCTAAAAGATACTCTGAACAATACTAAGAAGTCAGAGTGCTTATGCTTTCAAAAAACTGTAATAGTGAGTATATATGTTATGTGGTATGTGACTGGGGCACCACAACCAGGAACAAGAGCCAAACACTTGTGTGGGTTAAAATTGTCCTTTATTAATTACCAAGGTGCAGAATCCCAGGAAGACAGGAAGATTGTCCTCAAAGCCTGCCTTGCTTTGAGAGAGCTTCACAGAGTTCTTACATACTCCCCCAAGTTACTGAATATCAGCTGCCCTCTGATCTCCTGCTGGAGGACTTGGTATTTGTTACTTTCCCCATTTGCACATCTGGTGTTTTTTTCTCTTCAGCCCAGGGTCATGACGGTCTTTACAGTGTCAGAATCAGGGGAGGACTGGCTGATGTGGCTGACTGATAACTAGTTAGGTCATTAAGTAACTTTTACAGCAAGAGGGAGTTGAGGTTGTTTTTCTTCTTACAAATATATTATGTGCATGTATATTGAGAGTTACTATGAAAGATGCTATTAAGACTCACATCTCTAGCTGTATTCCTTCATCTAGCCCTCATTTTTCTATTTATGTTATTATTTTTATAATGTCATTTACATTGTTATTTTATATTTTTAAATTATGTTATATTCGAAGTCTATAACTTCTATATTCTGTTCTATAACGAAAACTAACATGGTCTTTAAATATTAGTTTTATGTTTGAATATATTCAGTATCATGCAGCATCACTTATGGTGGGCAAAATGCAAACTAACAAAAACAAATGTATACAACTATTATGCACCCCAAATAATTAAAAACAAAATACAAAAATAAGTAAATAAAATAAAAAACAAATAAACAAGAAAACTGGAAACAACCAAAATGGACCTCTTTAGGGAAATGAGTGAGTGCAGTGTGTCACACCTGAAAGGAACAGCATATCTGTATCTGCTGATCTTAAAGGAGAAGCCTGTGAGATGTCTGGTGAGGAAATAAGACAACAAAGAGCTGTGTGCACAGGACGGGCCTGTGTCCTATAGCCAAGCAGCACTTGTGCTGAGGTTGCCAGGGGTGGGTGGGGAGGGTGTGTGACTGACTCAGTGCTGGTTGGTGACCCTGGTGACCAGAAGGAGGAGGCTGGTGGAAGTAGGAGGGATCATTATTTTCTTCTTTTTGCATTGTTTCCCCAGTTGAAATGAGGATATGTTACTTTTGAAGCTTAAGAAAACAAACTCTAATTTTAAATAACAGAAAAATTGGTAATTATTTCTCATGTAAAACATTGGCTTGACTATTTTGATATCAAATGTGTTAAAATGATACATAATTTGGGTAAATGTGTCCGGTAAGTTAATATGTTTGTTTTGAGGGGAGACTAAAGAATTGCCTATTTTGATAATTGCCTATGTCAATTGACATAGGCACAGAAGATAAATATTCCGCTAGAAAACTGGACAAAAAATAGACAGCTCAAAAATAAATAAAAATATCTAATAAACCTAAAATATTAACTTTTTGATAACCATATGTGGTTATCAAATTTAATGCAAATTGAAATGTGGAGGCAGCCAATTGTGTGTTGATAAGCAGGAAATTTCCCTGCTGAAGCCTTGCTGCCCAGGGCTGTGTCAGGGGCTGAGCCAGGAAGATGCCAGTGAGAAAGAGGGGCTGAGAAATGCACCCACTTGTCCAAAGGGAGAAGTAAACAGCTGGACACTTCCCAGGAGTCCAAAGTGAAGTGGACACCAGCTTATGGCCCTGAACTCCCTGGACACCATCTAGACACAGGGAATGACAAAGGCCAAATATGGTTGCCACATTGATGTAACCATGCTGTGGCAGGAAGAGCTGAGAAAGTGAGAGGAGTGAGCAGGGATGGCCTGAGCTGGGCTATAACCAGGAGCAGAGTCAGGTTGCTGGACTGGAGAAGGCTTCAGGATAGGTAGGCAGGGTCCAGGCCAGGTGGGGTGATGGTAGTCTTTCCAAGGACTTTAAGTTTTACCCTCAATGCCTGCGAATTCTCTGGAGGCCTTCAGCAAGTGAAGAGCATGTGTGCCTTCTGTCTTGAGATGGGCTCTGAGGGCGTGCTGAATGTGGGCCCTGCACTGAGGAGGGGCTGGGAGGATATTCTGGAGGTGTAATGAGACAGGGAGGGTGAAGGAGGTGCCCCAGGTGAGGCCCACATTTCCAGCTCACAACCTGAAGAAGATCAGGATTTGCTGGGGACGGTAGCTGTCAGATATCCAGACCTTCTGGCCATTCTGTGTCTGCTGGAGCAGGCGTCAGTCAGTAGCCACCAAGAGACACCAAATTATTTCTTTTGGTTCCCTTTTCAGTCTTAGTTATGAGCCTCAATGATGACTAGATTTTAGCAGTAAAAAATAAAGGGAAAAGTATGGACTTTCTTGGTGACTGTTTGTGGTCAGTGTTAAATATCAGTGTTAAATAATTGTAGGATGCCACAAAAAAATCACATTTTTAAACATTGGTCAGATATAGTTCTCCTTTATTTTGTGATTTTTCTATAATAATTGATGAAAAATCAATTATCTTACAGGACATAGTCCTATTGGCATTTCATTGCAGTACTGGGTTTCTGCCAGGGATCAAATCAATAATGACTGATGTTCCATAGCTCTCCCAAAACAGTGGCTCTGTTTAATCTTCCTGCTCTTCTCCTGGCTGCTTGTGGGACTTTATTACTATTAGTTTCTGCGTGGAGAAGAGCAGATGAACTTGGGGCTTTGCCCCTTCCTGGCCCACCTCCTGTTTTCATCACTAGAAATGTGAACCCAGGGACACACCTGCCTGCCCTACAGCAAGAGCTCCTGCTGCAGGCAGTTTGCACAGGTACTTTAGAGATGTCCCAGCTAATGTTGGGTGGGCTGGGTGCTGAGGTACAAGAACAGTGAGGCTTAACAGAGGCTTGTTAAGGCTGTTAAAGGTTGAGGTGAAGGCATCTCTTCAGCTATGATACAATATTTCACATTTAAGTTTTGTGACTCTCTCTTTAAAGGAGAAGTGAAGGATGTCCTCTCCAAAATGCCTAAATTCTTAGCTAAGTCTCAAGTCATTCAAGAATCTCTCACATAGGGGACTTTCCCATCTCTTATCAGGGCTGACATGCAGCTGCCATATTTGCTCTGATGAACAGCAGGTCCACATGGTGGTCACTACTTTCCTTGATTCACCTTGTGAACACAATCTGTTGGTTTGATTTAATAAATTTGGATCATTTCAGCAGGAACAGCCCCTGTAGTAGACAAGGAGAGAAGGGGTGGGCACACTGATGCACTCTTGCTGTGCCTTCCCTTAAGTTCACCTTGCATTTCATGGAGTACCACCAAATACAGGGTAGAGTGTGGATATTTTCTGAGTTCTCATATGTACAAAAGTATCTTAATTTTTTCCCCATGCCTAGTGAGTGGTGAGTATAGGGTTAGGGTTAGAGTTAGGGTTCTGGAATATTTTCGTCATAAGGAAGATGACATGAAATGGTAATAGTGATTTTAGAGCAATGACAAATGTATAGCAGGAAGAAAATGATTGTTTTGGAATCTCAAACTTAATTCCATACTTGTGGGGTTATGCATAGGATGTGAGGGCCAGCATATCATGTACTGGCTATGTGACCTAGGACAAGCCTCTGGGCTCTTTCAGCTCGTGAAAGCTTAGAGCCCACCTGCAGTGCTTATGTGAATGAATCTCTAGAGCTTTTGATAAAACTAATACAGTTTTCTTGTCATGACTTTAAGGAAATCTACACTTTTCTAGGTCAGAAAGTTTTGTTCACTGAAAAGCAGGGTGTGGTTATGGCAAAGCAGCTGTGGGTTTGCATCTGGCTCTACAAGTGGATGTCCTCTACCATGCTATCCACAGCCTCTAAATTATAGTTTCTTCCTTTTCAATTATAAGGGGGACTTCACCTAACAAATGCAAGCAGTGTAACCTGGTTCTTTGCACCTTCAATGATTCCCCAACAATAATAATAAAAAAATGTAAATACCTAGCCTAGAGGGCTGTAGAGAGCACTTGATGCCCAGTCACATGTACACGTTCCTAGAGAGTTGCCTGGTGCTTACTATGTTTCCCTCCACTTCTCACACATTCAGAATGATGGTCAGTGGGACATATGGGATCATCATCTGAAGTGAGAACTCTCTGCATCTTTGTTCTGGAAGGGGCTGTGTGAGAGAACATCTTGTAATCCCTACATTCACAGTTCCCATTAATCATGGGGAAGGTTGTGGCATAAACAGAATTGCCCCACAGTGTCCTCTCAGTATGTCAGTTGTTTAGTTCAAATCCCACTCACTGAAGCTTCAGAACACAGCATAACTGATAGAAGAAAAGCTTTCATTTTAGGGACTCTGTATGACACATGAGGAGGCCACTTTGTTGATGCAGGCAAAGTTCATGAGGAAGTTGACATGGTGGGCCATTACTAAAGGCCTCACATGAGTCATATGACCCAGACACCCCATATGAATGACAGGTCAATAAAGTCCAGAGATACGTTATTGCCAACCCCCAGTCTGCCTCATGCTGTGATCTGGGACACAAAGTTCAAAGTGCTTTATTGCCAAGGTCAGTCATGGTCTCCTTTCATTTTTTTTATTATGACAATCAACTGCCAGGTTTTAAAATTTTAAATAAGGTTTTCATTAGCTATATTGGCAGGTTCTCTGTATATACAGATTTCACAAAGATGTTGTTTTTCTAAGAGGCAGGTAGTAATTATGGTTATAAAATTGTTATATGCTAGGAAAGAGTGAAGGAAAAAATGTAGTTACAGTTTTTATTTTTGTTTTTTAACAATTTATATTATGATTTCCTTTTTAGCCAGTGGTTAAATAAATCTCTACTAGGAATACTGAGATAGAAGTAAAGAAAGAGTAACAGGAATATTTTTAAAAAGGTAAAACTAAAGTTTAGTAAATGAACAATTAATTTAAAAAGGTTAGAAGGGGGATTCTGGGAAGATGGCTGACTGGTAGCAACCCTGGTCAGAGGCTCCTGAACAAAGGAAGAAAAACTGGTTGGAATCAGAATCTATGAAGTCAAAGACGGGGAGCTGAGCCCAG